GAACATATAGTTATTTTGAGTTAATATAGAATGGGCGCCTTGTCCTGGAACAGAATTGAAATCTCCTGTTAAGAAGAGGACAGACAAAGGATATCTTTCTTTCCATTCCTTGATAGTAGATAAAACGATTTTAGCTTGTTCTCTTCTAGCTTCCTCGCTAAATGCATCTAAATGTGTGTTAAATATCAAAATTTCTGTGGACGAACTACGAATGAGACTGAAGCGTGCAATATTTAATGTTCGAATACCGAGACTATTCCAACTTTTACTTCGTTCTAAACGGGGTGTTTTCGATAACCATATATAATCACGCTCCATTAGCTTCAATATGCGATTATCGTACAATATGGCCACTTGAAAATCGTTATGACGTGATGGGTGATCAAGATTACCGATAGTACGATGAAAGCCAATTGCTTGATAATAACTCGGCAGAACCGATTGCAAATGTAATACTTGTCCTGCTGATGGTTCTTGTAGTCCAATAACATAAGGTTTCCAATTTTGTATAGTTTCACTTAATCTATGTAATCTTTTGGTAAAATGATTATTATCATCCCACTCCTTACCATCGAAGCGAATATTGAAACTCATAATAGGAAATAAAACACTAGTATCAGAAATAAAATTCTCGATAATTTTCGTACTGATGTTGCGATATTTATATAACATGTCTAAATCATCTTGTTCATTATAAAGAGGAAAGCGAAGAATAAAAATCATCACAAAAGGAAGTACTATGGTGAAACCAAATAGTTTTTTTGAGATAAACATCTTAAAAGAAAAAATTACCGAACCGTATAGACGAAAGGAAAGATTTTAGATGCTGCTCATTAGCCATGAATAGTGACGCTCTCGATAATCCCGTGACCATTTGGTACAAGTGAACATTGACCAGTACAAACCGACGCTCATNCAGTACAAACCGACGATGTTTTAGCAAAGGCACGATACAGGATGAGCAAGATGAAGTAATGTTCAGTTTGGCATTCTGAAATTTATAAAAAACGAATCTTTATTTCCTGGCTGTTTCACAATGAATGGATAGCAGCTAAAACAAAATATTCAAACAGAGTAACAACAAATCAAACGTAATCACAAGAGCAACAAATCTAAATCTGTACAGGCTTCTCAAATAATAAATCGCCTCATTCACAGAAAAGCAACAACTAACTTCAAAAAAGAGGACCAGAGAAATGGGGTTTGACAAACAATAGTGTGCGTTGCTTTCAAGGGCAAAGTATCATTTACTGAATTTGTAATGGGAACACGTTCAGCTCCAGAAACATAAACAATGGCTTCATTTAGTCTATTTTCACAATGTTGATGATAAGATGAGAGTTTTTCTTAAGGGGGTTATTCTTCCCAAAACATACCATCAAACTTTGCCAGTTTGTAGAGGACACCTTCAAGGGTATATGTGTGCAATAACTCACGGGTTGAATAAGTTTTGACGAAGAGGTGAAATTTTTACAAGTTGAAAAAATCGATTTTTCCAGCTATTTTGCACCTAATCCAAAAAGTATTTCTTGCGCAGTCGTCCGTGTCAACGAAGCATTTCAGAGACATTATGTCACTGCAAAAGTTCTTCCATGCATTCATCTCTACCAGATGATATGTTTCTTTTTTAGTGACTGCACAGATACAAAGGTTTAGGTCATAAACTAGGTCCGAGTCAGAATTTTGCTCGTAACTGGAGATTTTCTCTAACAGAACTCAACATCCATGTAATAAAAATATCATATTCAGAATCGGGATCAAAAACTGCGTCGAATGATATTTCGAAATTTTTAGTTGATTTCCATTTTTTGGTCAAAATCTTGATAATTTTTCAACGCCAGAATTCGAAAAAAATTGAAGTAGTCGGATAGGATAAGAATATACATCATTCGACTCAGTTTTTGATCCTGATTCCGAATATGATATTTTCATTACTATTTATACACCTCTCCGCCAAAATATTATTCAACCCGTGAGTTATTGTACACGTATATCCTTGAAAGTGTCCTCTACAAACTGGCAAAGTTTGAGGTTATGTTTTGGAGGACACTCCTCTCCCCTTAAGTTATAGTGGAAATCATAACTTCTAACCGTAAAAATGTA